CACGGCGCTGCCTTTGCCTCTCCCCGCGTTTTGGCAGAGGAGCCCCCACCTGCCCCGCGAACGCCGCTGCTCCGGCACTGCGGGTCCTGCCGGGCTGGGACGCACTCGGGGCTCCGCGGAGCATCTGAAGGGCTGGTGCAAGGAGGGGAGCGCAGGAGCCCCGTGTTCCCAGCACCTACTGCAGCCTGGGGGGGTCCCTTCGCCCCCCCAGCTCTGCAGGGAGGGTGCATGGCCGTTCTTAGCTAAACAGACGGGCCTGACCAAAGACACCAAGCCACACTGTGCCACCGCTGCGGTGCCGTGCGTCCCCTGCCTGGGGCACAGCCTGGAGCCATCAGCTCAGCCCCTTCCCAGCCCTCTGAAGCTCAGCCCAGCTCCTGTCCCGCCAGCACGCGACTCTCAGAGGGGTCCCCTGGAATTTAAAGATGTGTTTCAGTCCTTCGTTTAACCCAGCCCACCCAGGGCCATGCCTGGCCGCCGTCCCCAGCCTGGCCCCACCACCTCTTTGCTCCGCACAGCGACTACACACGCATCTGCAGTGGGTTTTCTCCCAGGTCCTCTGCGAGGCAGACGGAGCAACTGTTGTGCACTAGCGCTACGTATGTGTGAACCTCCAAGAAACGCCTTTGAAAGCGGCAGGTACAACGCTGTGGGTTTTCATACCGACACGAGAATCTGCCAAGGACCCAGCTCCGCAGACGCCGGCTGCCTCGCAAGAGCATCTGGCGCAGAGTCTGCACAGGACAGATGGAGACGGGAGCTGTTTATTCACACAGAAGCAGTCTGGCTCCCTCCCATTTGGTAGGTGTTCTCAGCAAATTTTGGTGGTGTCTCAAATTCCTTACCCAGGGCTTTAAAGCTTTTGTCTCTGGCCAAGCATCGGCTGAACTCACTCCAGCTCTTTCCAGGAGACTCTCCGGGAAACATGTGTGCGCTTCCCGATGCCAAAGGCTGCCGGCAGAAGAAGGGCAGCCACACCAGGTCACAACGCTGGACCACAACCGTGGCACCGGAGCAGACCCAGCACTGCTCGGGGTCCGGATCAGTAATGACCAGATTGCACCATGCTGGACTCCCAGAGCAACCAGACCCAGCCCAGCCGAGCTGGCCCGCAGCGCAGCAGATCCTG